AGGTAAGTTTGGTTCATTCCATAAGTTTGGGCGGCCCGACTTTAGGTCTGGCTAAGGTAAGGTTCATTCCATAAGTTTGGGTATCCTGACCTTATGCCTTATGTAAGTTGGGTACAAGGGATTAAATCATCGAAAGGTCATGAACTATTGTTTGTTCAGGTATACTTTGGGATGGTGAGAGTACTAACCTTTGTGGTATAGCTTGCATGTGACTGAGTAAGGTCACTACTTAGTCTGAGTTTCAGGTTGGTAGGTAGTTGCTTTAGTTGCTCGCCACGTGCTAGAGTCATAGGAGTTAGTGTCAATTTCTGCATTTTTTGTAGTATTTTTTTTTTTCACTTAGGTCAATTCTCGCATTTTCTGGGATCTTTTCTTATACTTGGCTTTGTATAAATCTTGGCCAGCTACTTTCTCTACGGGAAGCGCTGCCGAAATTTCTAAAAATCCAAGAAGTTAGTCAAATTTTGACTTGTCAAAAGTTCAACTTTGTCTTTTCTTATATATGACTTAGTAAAAATCTGGGAAGTCTCATTTTTTAAAGGGAATGCTGCCCAAATTTTTATTAATTCAGGAAGTTCGACAAAATTGGACTTTGAAGAATCAAAGTTACTTTTAAATTCTCGACTTAGCCTTGTATAAATTTTGGAATAACACTTTTCTAGAGGGAGTGTTGCCGAAATTTCTGCAAAACTAAGGAGTTAGTTAAATCTTGTCTTTAGTTGAACTCAAGTTGTCTTTTGAAGTTCAGATCTGACTTAGTATAAATTTGGGATTCCTCCCTTTCTAAAGAGAGTGATGCCCAAATTTTTACTAATTCAGGGAGTTAGACAAAATTGGACTTTCCAGAATTAAAGTTTATTTATGCTTTCGTATTTGAACTTATATAAATTATGGAAAGACACTTTTCCTACGGGAAGCGCTGCCGAAATTTTCTTAGTTTAAAGGAGATCGATTATATTTTGACAGGTGGCGATTTTGATAGTCCACTCTGAATGGGGGAGATTTTGCCATATTGCTTAGAGGTAGGCTTAGACATAATTAACAAGGATGATTTAGGTAAGATCATGATATGAAGATTATCCTCCATGAGCTTATAGGTTCAGCCTGGGGCATTGACGTGTCATGTGTTACAGACCCTCTTGATCGTTCGATTCAAGATCTGGACTAGATTCAGCTTAATCCCTTGAGGATCATCATCTATTATCATTGATAACAGGTTGGTCGTCGATTCGTCGGTCTACGACTCAATTCCAGCTCACCCTCCACACTAAACCTAAAAGGCTTTTGCCCTGGTGATTTCATTGTTTCATTAAGGTTTCACCCGGACTTTTATTGAATGACCATTTAACAAAGGTACTGAGTATTTAATTAAGGTTGGTTGGACAGGAGGTTGGGGCTTGCATGGCTAAAGCGAGGGGGTATGGGTGTCGAGGATGGTTGGGGTTGACTCCGTGTAGTGCGTGGACTGTTGTTTGACTTTTCGATGCGATTGCAGGTATGTGTTGTGGCTTGGATCCTGGATTTGACTGCCTGCGATCACATATATACATATGGTGTGAGGAACCCCACTGAGACTGTGAGAAGTGATCGTCACATACTTACCCCTTTATATATGTATACATGGGGTGAATACCTACATGGGCTAACGGGCCCCGTGCTAAAAACCTACTTAAAGGTTAAGACTGAGAGGCATAGGGAAGACCACTCCTTTTATGTGCTTGGCTTCTTGAGGGTTTTCTTAGTCGGACGTTGGTCCTGGGCCGGGATTCAAGGTCCTTGTCCAGGACATCCCAAGCCCTATTTGCATTGCCCGATGAACGCTAAAGGCGGAAATGTCGTGAGGGCCGAATGACATGTCCTGACCCCTCACGATATATTCCTTCAACCATTCAATATCGCGAGGCCAGAGCCTCGACTACCACGTATGGTTGGCATCGTTGGTTGGTATGAGACTGACCTGCAGCTGCGCGGCTTTATATTAGAATCCCGCACGCGACGTGTCGCCGCCCTAGTGTTTAAAAATTATGGGATCAAAAGGGACCAGCATATATGCACGAACGTTTGGGGTTACTATAGGCCGCTGGCACCACCAAAAAAGGGGAGGGTACCCCAAGGTTTTGTTTTCCTTTGGGATAGAGGGGACCCTCAGTCTATTTATGTTTTTTTAAGATTTATAGTTGAACGTTGTAGTCCGTGGCAGCCGTCAAAGTCAAACCCCTTGACCTCTGTCCAGGCTTGGAGAGGGGCTCATCTCCGGGGTAGTAAGAAACGACTGCCACCACAGGTATGGACCTGTGTACCACCCGCTCTGCACAGAGTGCAGAAGAGGGTGTGTGGTCTTCAACCGCGCTTGACGGTTGTCCAGCGTCGAGAGATTAACCCTCAAGGCGCGTGTCAGCCGACACTAAAGTGTTGAATGCGACCCTCGAAATTAACGAGGACCGCATGAGTATGGGTACTACATGGTACACCATCATTGCGACTGTTTGCGTACGTTTGCATTGCTAGTCGATATGAGTAGGCTCTGCATCCGCGCGTTTTTGTACTAAGTCTCGCGCGCGACGCGTATCCGATTTCCGCATCGGGAAGTTATGGGACGGCTACCTAGGGGCTAGGAGCGTTGTCGCGTTGTTAGTATTGTGTCGTTTCGTATGTGTGCGTGTGTGTGTTTTATTTTTGTGTTTGTTGGAGTGGTATGCGCGTGGTGTGTGGGATGCGTCCTAGTCGACTGATGACGGACCGCGATAGAGGCGTATTACCGCGCGTACCCCCTATGCTACAGCGA